TTTAACTTTTATAGGTACCAATTGAGTCTCGTATATTATAAAAACTAAACAATATTTCCCTTCCCATTTTTATACAGACTTAGGACTGTCTGTAGTAATAGTTACTAGTTTACTACTACAGGTATGTTAAAAATATTATTTTTGCTTAATATATTATTTTTGTTTTTGTATTTTGTCAAAAAATTGTAACCGTATAAAAAATATTATCGTTATTGGTGAAAAATGTATTGTTTTTTTTTTTTGTAATTTTAATTTTATAAAAATGTTATAGTACCGGTAAAAATTTAAAAGATAACTTTTTTAGGAATTTAAACCTACTAATTTTAACTGATAAAATAGTCAAATGTATTGCTTTTTCAAAATCTGCAAACACTTTTTTTGGAGAAAATATAATATTGATTTTATTGCATTCAGACAAAATGTGGAAAAATGCCTTTTCGTAGGTTTTTAATTCCTTATCAGGAAGTAGAAAAAATAATAGTGGTATATATTTATCATTTTGTAAGCCATGAACTGTGAAGATTTGAGTAAAAAGGCTTGGGCAACTTTTGAAAGTTCCGTCAACAAAAATTGTATCAACATTACAATAACATTATAATCAACATAACCAATAATTTCGACTTTAAAGATATCACAGGTAATGGGGACGCAATTCAGACGTGCTCAAGAAAAACCCGGGACGCAATTAGTATTATACCTTTTTATACCTTTTTATACGGGACGCAATTCGTAAGCAGCGAATTTAACTGCCTATTGACTATAGTTATAATTATTTTATACAAATATTCTCAGATAAATTTAAGAAATTTAAAAAATATCTGACCTAATCGTTTTCAAACGAACTTTGACCATTTCCAGTTATATAAAATATAATAGAATCATCTATGGAATGTAACCATTTATCATTAATTATAAATGTATAGTTAAGGGGATTTCCAACCATGATTTTCTTTCTCTTTCTATCCCACGTGCAATATAGGGATTTAGACGTTTTCAATTTCTATCGTACCGATTGATCAATTGATGTGATAAAGATTTTGAAAACTTATTTAAGTTCATCACAGTCTTCTTTAAATCGACTTTCCCATTTTTTTGATTATGTCTCCCAAAATTTTACAAAACAGAATTAAACGAATTGAAAACATAAAAATTTATTTGTGGGTATGTTAAGTTCAAAATTTAAAAAATATGAGAAAGTTTTTACGACAAATTCAAATCAGTTTTCAAAATCTTTATCGCCTTAATAGATAGATCAGTACGTTAGAAATAGAAAACGTTTAAATCTCTATATTGCGCGTGATAGAAAGAGAAAGAAAATCATGGCTTGCAATCCCCTTAAATTTAAAATAATGAACAGGTACTAATTTGTATCAAGATGGACGGATCAAGACTAGTGCCTTACGCCCAGTTATTTACAATATTCTGAGGAAATTACAATACTATTATTTTCCTATGCAGAATCGAATTTTATATAGTAATTTGTATTGTATGAGGAAATGTATTCATTCATTTGCGAAGGACTCAAATGTTTATATGAAATTAACTGATGACAATTGTCAATTGTTTTTAATATGATAACGTTAGTATTATTTATAAAAAATATATAGTGTCAAGGTTAGAAAGAAGGGTTATTTCTCAGAATAATTCTACCACAAGCACGCCTATATTAAAATTAATTAAAAAAAAAAAAAAAAAAATTGATAAAGAAAATAATAATAATTGATTATAATAAACTATAGATTAATAATTTAAAAGTATTATCGTTATAATTATATATCCTTGTATCTATAATATAATCATTTATAAAACTAGAATTATTTTCTCACTATTAATTCAAATATATACAAGAATAATTTTAATATAGGGTTTAAAATCAAAATTAAGACCAATTTGAAATTGAAGAACAAATTAAAGAGATATATTCTCGAAATGCCTTGGGTAATATATATATATATAATCATAAAATTATTAACTGATTGATCATAAATTAGTACTGAAATAACAATAATAATATTTTTAAATAAGCCAAGATAACTTATTTGGAATAAAACAATTTAGTAGAATACCGAGCAGCAAAATTGTATTTAGTCTATATTTGAAATTGTTAAGGTTTATTGCTATATTTTGCATCAAAACATATTAAATATAACATTCTTTATAATTTCAATAAACCTTATTTATCTTGTTGGTAATTCTTGTAAGCATTTTCAATCATATAAATTAGTAGAAAATATAATTATATATACGTATAAATATATATTTATATGTATAATTTAAATATATTGTTCGATGTATTTTCTCTTGATGGGTTAAATAACAAAAATAGAAAAATTATAATAAAATTAGCTCATTTTAGTTATCGAAATAATATACAAACATTTCGGTAAAATACGATTGAGAACGTTATTTTTGGTAACACGATTGAGAACGCTCGTTTTTTTTCCAACGTTGCCAAATATAATCGATCTATAATATGAGCACAATGATCTGTTGATCTGTCTATCGGACTTTATCGGATTAGCTGAATGTTAATAGTAACTTGGATACCAGATACGATAAAATGACGGTTAAGCTTTGCAGTCGTCGCACAAACTATTAGTGAATATATTTCATAATTTTGTAAATTCTACATATTTTTAATTTTTATTCATATGATATATTACATATTATTTTTTCAAGAATATTTATTGTATGTATACTGCATTTTTCAAAAGCCAAATAATTGATATGGCAAACTATGGTAACGTTGCACATAAATTCGCTCTCAAACGTATCGTTTTTTGGGTTTTTTTTTTGGGCCAGCTGTAAGTTCTAACTACAAGTTCTTTGTTAATTTTAAATATTCTCAATCGTTCGATAGCCAAACATTTAAATATAGTTAATCTTTTTCAACATACTTATTATATTGTTTCAAGACATTAAATACACACTAAGCATTTTTAATTTTTCAATGTACTTGAGTGATTTTATGACTATTAAATAAATATTATACTATACTATAATATTAATATATTGCTGTATCAATTTTAAAACTAACATAGACAAATATTATACAGCAATTTAAATTATAAGGTCAACAATTAAAAGAAAAAGACCATTTTATATTATGTTGTAAAACTATCAAATTGTTGACTGGTATACACAATCCGTTTCATAAAACATTAAAAAAAACATTATAACCCACTTTTGGTTGTATATTGCTGTGCTATTTTACTATTCTTTTATCTATCTACTTAAAGTAGATGAAATTCTTCTTAATAAATTCATCATTTTCAATCTATGCTAATTATTTTCCTAATTTATTTTAATGGAAAATAATAAATTATATTTTACCAACACATATGATATCAAAATGTTAATAAATGTTTAATATAATAGATCATTAAGCTATTGGAAAAAAATGTCATTTAATAAATTTTGATTCAAATCATTAAATAAATCACACATGTTTAAAATTTGCATTATACAAAAATATAGTTTGTGCAAAAATCAATTGCAGCAAATTCAAAGATAAAATTAAAAGATTCTGAATAATATGATGACTGTACTATATTATATTCATTGATTTTTTACTCAAAGAGTAAGAACTTTAATCATTTATATGTCTGCTCAACAAAATATTTATTATATTTCAACATTCCGTATTCTGAACTTAATTTGGTAAGTTTTTTAGTATTTCTTTAACAAAGCCCCAAATAATAAAACTAATGCAATATTATGATTTAAAGAGTATAAATTAAAGGGTATATGATTTAAATTTTACTTGTAAAAGCAATAATCTTGAATTCACAACATTTAATAAAATTCAAGTAAATGAAACGACTTAAGTTCCGAACACCATACAGCCTGTTTCCCATCCGTACACATGCGTTATTATAACATTAATTTTTTTAAACGTAATAATTTAGAACAACTATTAAAGTAAAATGGTGGTTTAACAGATACCTAGATATAAATTTAACTTCCATGTAAATAATTATAAGAACAAAATAATTTAATACGTATGTGAAGTAAACGAGATAAATTATATCAGTACGTTGTATAATAGCAGTGAGGGTGTACTTAATTTTACTTCATAAAATAAATAATTCAAAAATCCATAATTAAAAGCTACGTATGCATTTTAATGACATTAGAATCGATGACTTAACGAGAAGAATATTTCATTAGAGATTTTATTAATATCGGAAATCGCAGACAATCAGTTCCGGTGAGAGACCGTTACCGCGCTCTACCTCCACTACCATCATCGTCGTCGTCTCCACAATGGGTGTCATCGATCTCTACGGCACGTCCTGCCATGCGTATAACAGCTAAATAATACGCTTACGGTACACATTTTATAAATACAGGTTTTGCTACGTGAAACCGAATTTCGATAGGTCAACACTACGCACGTGACGGAAAATCCATTACAGTTTCGATTGCCAGCCGTTCGCAATAATGCTGTCGGAGGAATAGGCGATTACCGTGGAGGTGTTAGTACGATGACGTGATTTGCTACTGCATTCCGATCTTACAAAACTGAACGAGTTGTCATAAAAATATTCACAATCGAACTTGAAACCGCAACGAGCTGAGATGAACAAATAATTCAAATAACCTGGATAAACGACTCGCAGCTCCCTGAGCTCGGGACTGCTTCTGCTCCAGGTATTCCTAGGCTGAACAATGCACTGGAACATGTTAATCCGCGTTCAAAAAACTCATTGTACACGTATACGCGTTAGATTCGATCGTCGTTCTGTAAAGCGCGTGAGATCGGAAAACACACAAGCATACGTATCACGCAATAGAACAAAAAAATATAAAACGCAATAATAATAATATTAATAGTGTGAAGAACGAACGAAAAACGCGCGCACGACAACTGTTGCGAACGTAGTGCTGGAAGCTGTGTGTGCGCCACCCGTCGTCGGACCGAGTTGTTCCCCGCTTTATCCCGTCCACGGATCATGCGCTTTTCCGACCGTCGCAAGGGGAAATGCGCCATTCACGCGCCACCATACCGACAGATTTCAACAACATCATGACGTCATCGCACCAAAACCACCCTACGCGTCTACGACCAGACTCTTGTTCGAAAATCAAACTTCCGACGGAAAGAAAAATCTTAGTTTCTCGACGCACGTCTCCGACTAATGTCGCGATATCATACTACGCAGAACTCGGATCAAGGTCATCCGGAATTAAAAAAAAAAAAAGAAACTTTTCGTACCCATCGACCGCTTCATCAATATACGTATCGCTGTCGGCCAATACCGTACGTATATATTATGCGCCACATTAATAACGCACGGACATTATTTACCGGTCGTATTGTACATCGTACATGGTATAATGTTCCGGGATGTAAAAAAAAAATTAAGCCACGAGAAAACCTGGTGTTAAACGTGACTTATGTGCAAAAGTGGATTGAATCCATGTCAAGAATCGATCATCAATAAAATCTTTAATAATTTAATAACGCGCAGTATATAAAATGGTTCAAGTGCTACTTAATACGTTTGTGTTCGTGACACCGATTTCATAGTGGTGTCTGAGAAACATAAGTCCGGGAATAATACAACAATAGTATTTTCGATATTTTTTTAACAAACTGCACATCATGTTATCTTAAAAGTTTTTCTCAATCGTAATTGTATATTATTTCCAGCCTGAGTTGGTTCAAAATATTCTTAAAAAATCGATCCCCAATCTTCATTTAAATAATAAATTATTTTACTGCATTAATTAACGATTGCTATGTATACAACTACTATAATGATATATTATATTGCTCATTTGCAAAAATTAATCGATTATTTGAAAAATTCTATACAAAAATAACATTAATGGAATACTTTTAGTTTTAATTATTATTTTTTTTATTTTATTTTATTTATTTTTTATTACTATTTTTTTGCGCCATGACCAAGGTACAACTACCCTAATGCTTGGGTTTTTTTTTTAATATTATTCAATTTTAACAGGTTTTAAGTAATAATATCTATAAACTATAACAAATCATTATGGATACTATTACTTAAAACCTGTTAAAATTGAATAATATTAAAAAAACCCAAGCATTAGGGTAGTTGTACCTTGGTCATGGCGCATTAATTTCTCAAGTGTTGAAAATGTTTTCTTTAACCAACAACAACTAAACAAAATGCTCATACAATGTTATCGATTCGCTAAGAACATATATTATAATATTTTAAAATTACATGAAGGATTTAATATCAATTGAATTAAATTTGTCAAACTGATCTTATGACTTTAATAAACTACCAATTTTTATATAATTATATGATTAGTAACTTTTGATTAAGTGTGGATGTAACGTATTCATACATTTAAAGTTCGTAAAAGAAAATATAATAAGTACTTTTGACTTTTATAATATTTATTTACCTATTTTATTTAATTTTTATATTCATTAATTAATAATATATAATATATAATAATATATAATTGTGAAGCATGTATATTTAGCTATTGTCAATTTTTTGTTAAAACTTATAATTATTATCAAAATATCTTAAATAAAATAAAATTAATATTGGAATATATTTTATTATATTGAATATAATATGTATGATATATAATATACTATAAAAATAAATTATTCCCTTTTAATTTAGTTAAATAGTTTATTTTTGTATTTAATATATATATATAAATTTTTAAAGTTTAGTTAATTTCGAGGTTAATTGTATAAATTTTAAATTACTAAATTACGTATTAAACAACAATTAAAGTTGGTAAAATATTCTTTAACTTCCCTGTAACCTATTTTATTAAAAAAAAAAAAAAAAATTGAAATTAAGTTGAAAAAAAATGAAATGTGTATATAATAATAAACACTGATTTATTGGTCTACAGACGGTAACATAAACACGTCCAACTTAAATCAGGAAGCAATAGCGGATGAAAATGAACAGAAAACAGAATTTCAAAACACATGGTATACCAACTACTAACAAAAGATCTTATGTATAATCGTTAAAATATAGACCACCCAAAATAACAATTTAGCAAAATATTATTTTACAAAGGTCAAAATAATTCATAATTCATTATGTCATTTTAATCATAGAAAATAATTTACTTTTATTCATTTCCTGATTTGTTTAGGTATCTCAGTACTTATAATGTTGTATACATACGTGAACTCGATATAAACATATTCCAAAATAAATCACCTATTGTATTTTCAAATGCACAATAGACCTGCCGATTTTTTACGGTTAGAGAAACGTACAGAGCCAAGACATGATAGAAATTCAATATGCACATAAAAGAGAAAGTGAGTACATACCGAAATACATCTTGTATATCGTCAATTTAAAAAACAAAATCCAAAAGTGTTTAAAATACTTAAAAATGTTCAGTATATGAATAAATTCTACGACAGGCTTTTAAATTTATCCGATTCAGAGATACATGAAAGGGAATTTTATTGATTGTATCGAATTAACGGGTTAGGAAAAAATGCTTACATTGATTTCGCTGGACGCTGTCCCCCTCTCCACCTTATAATATTTTATTACATATCTAATTGTATAAAATTGTAGTAAATGTTTAATTCGATATAACAATAATATAACTCTACATGTATTTAAATATATATTTACCAAGAATTTGGAAATGTTTCGACTAATTTTGTGTCAAATAAAATCTGCATTCAACGATCCGTATTTCAGCCCATATTCCCACACAGCATTTGTTAATCAAAACGATTGTATAAATATTTAATTTTGATTAGAATTAAAATATTTAAAATTAAAAGTTAATACTTTATTGAATAAATGTATAGTTATTTTATTTTAAAAATAAAATATTTTACAATATTTATTAAATATTTTAATATTTATATTTGATTTTCAATGGTAATAGTTATTAAAATAAACTTAATATATTAACTTTTATTCAATTTGTGAGTTTAAATACTTATTTAATTCTTAACTCTCAATATTCACAAAATATTCATAATTTTAATTAAATTTATAGTTTATATAGATTTAAAAACAAATATTAAATTTTCATGTATTTAAATACCTATTGATACGCAATATTGTATATTTGTACTTCGTTATTCAACTTTTCTGAATAATATCCATATAAACGTAAAACATAGGTTGTACCTATTTATTTTATAAATAAATAAATTTTCGATATGTAAAAATTTAATTTATTTATGATTTTTACATGGTATAATAATTATCTATACAATATGCATTCATAATTTTTTATATTATTTATTATACATTGACTTAAGTATATTTTTTATATATTTTTAGATGCAATTAAAAAGCAAATCAAATTCAAAACTACTCCACTCAATGAAGTTGAAGATATAATAAAATACATTTTAGCTCAATCTCCATTTAACTTGAAAAGACAACTTAAAAAAAACACTGTTCCTAATTCCATTTAAAAATTGAATATACGTGTATTTATATAATATTTAATTTATGCGTGTTTTTTGTATTTTTACCCATAATGATAAAATAAAAAATAAGTTATTTATTTAAAAGATTCCTCAAACTGACCAAATCCATTATTTTTGTTTATTCCATAAGAATTTATATTCGAGTGTATAGACTATATTTATAAATGTATCTAAAGGTTTGGTGTGAAGACAGTGTTTAATAGTTTAATAATACATGATATGCAGTTAAAATTGGATAGATTAAAAATATAAGAGAGTACCACTATAGATAAAATTTTGAATTTGTTCATTTTTACCAAGAAAGTATTAATTGTGATTCTGATGCATGGTGGGGGAGTATTATTGTATGCATTAAGCTTGTATTTTTCACTCTCGTGGATTTTAATATATTTTAAAATGAAAATATTATCCAGGATTAGATTAACTAAAAAAATGAAGATACCTAATTATTAAAAAATTTTAACTTACAATATTATTTATGAGTTATTAAATTACTTCCATAAAAAATGAAATAACTGAAATAACTTAACTTACAAGAGGGGGTTACAGCCTACCCCCTCTTACTATATCACTTAGTTAAGTATATACAGAGTTATACAAAAATATATACACTGGTATATTATTTATCATATCTTCTATTGGTAGTCTATATATCAATAAATAATAATAATATTAACAAGCAATATTTAATAACATATATTACATTTTAATCATTAATTAATGTATAATTTTGAAACCATCAACATTTATTTAATCTTAATTAAATATTAAGAAATATTAATAAAATATTGATTAAATTTTGTAATTAAAATATTGCAACAACCATTGGTTTTTAAATTGTATACAACGTTGGTTTTTAAACATAATATAAATAATTAAAATTGGTTCAAAAAATGTTTTATAGTGGTTAATTAACATTTAATAACTTATATCAAATGAAATTTAAATGTTGACACAACTAAAAATCTTTTTTTACTTTAAAATTTAAATGTTGATTTAAAGTTAAATAAATATTGCAGTGCTGTGTGGGTTATTTTAGCACCAATATGTATACGGATAGATTCTTCAAAATAGGAAACTATTTTTAATGGAATGAATAATAAATTAATTTCTGAACATTTTTCCACGATATATTCAAACAATCGAGCATGTGTTTTTACATTTGTCTGGTAGTAAATAGTATACGAGTAAAATATAATATCCATTCTTGAAAATGTGTATAGTAAAAAGATGATGAAAATATTTTGTTATTATAAACAGTAGCCGCAGAATCAATAGTCGACGGAGTCGATACAAAATCGGCGGAATCGATATACGCCCCATGAAAAAACAGTATAATTTTAATTTCAAACCAATTTTATTTTTCTAATTAACTTATTTGATTCGTTCAATATGGTTATAACAATAAATATATAAATAAATATAATAATACATAATCTTTAATCAGAATACATAAATCTACGTTGTATGAATATCAGTATTATCATTTGAAAATATTTTTAAATACAATATGAGTAGATACGTATTAAAATCATAATATGATATAACTAAAATTTAATACAATTAATTAAATCTTACCCAGTACAACTAGGAATAATTTTAATAACATTTCATTGTTGGATAAAAAAAATTTAAAACAAAAAAATTTTGTTGTACTAGTTTTATGCAAATTTATCCAGGTGAATATATTCGTTATATAAATCATAATTTTTGCTTGGCAGATTGAATATCCAAAATTTAGACTTACAATAAAAGTACTGATTTAGAGCGTAAACATATTTTATAATAAGCGTTTATTAATATTAATAAAATAAAAGATAGAAAACATTAACAGGATTTTTAAGCTGCTAATTTCTATAAATCAAATCCATGACATATTAACTAATGAAATAATTAATTTAGCTTTTTCTGGATAAGCCGAAAATATTTTGACAGCAACTAATATTATTTATATTATTAATGATAGAATAACGAAAAATCCTGTAATACGATGGAAAAAATATAATACACAATATGTATAAAATACACAAAATAAGAAAACCTACATCATTTTAAACAATAAGCTGATTAAAAGCGATTAATATAAAAATAATACATACAACGATGTACCTCAGTGATGGATGTATTATTTTCTATTAATAAAAAATAAAATGTTTTTAAAAAAAAAAAATAGAAAACTTATTTATGTAATTTTACAATATCATACACATTCAAAAGAAATGTACTTTTATAAATTATAAAAAAAAATAATAAAAATTAAAAATTCTAAAATCCAAAAAAACATTATTTAAGAAAGTAATAATATAATACTTTAAAATTAAACTTTTTTACAACTCGTTTGCGTACAAATTTAAAACTCAATTACGCATACGAATTTTTAATACTTGCTATAAATGACCCAAATGTAGGACTCGTTTTCGAACATAATCTATAGCAAAAGTTTTTACATTGTACATTTTTTATTGGTAAATCTAAACAATAGATCACCTGATTTTGAAACACATGACACTATACTTATAGTTTTCAATATTAAATAACGTTTTCCTCTGCGCGTTTTAAAAACATTTGATATTTAAATATCCATGGTACTATACGAAATACAATAACTAAAGAACTGGCAACTCGTGTCTCAATAGCTTCACACGTTCAACCAAACAATAGGCATATAGTAATATGATAACTCAAAACGTGGCCGAAACATTCGAACACCAGTTAATCAAAAACTTTAGGGATTACGTGCATCTTATCGAAATATTTAAGATAAATTGTATCATTATAAGGTACTGCAAGTTACAATAAATGTCTATATTGAGAATGAGATTCAATAGTTGTACGCAAACGAATCGTCATTTTTCAGTTCAAAATGTGTATTAGCTGGTTTTTACGTTTTTCGTTGTACGTAAAAAAGTTCTCAGTTTCCAAGTAAAAATTGTGTACTGTATAAAAACGAATAACTCCCATTACAACCCATATTCAGGGTTATTAATTTCCTGCGTTCATGGGGACTACAGAATATGACCCAATGTAACATGACCTTGACAAATAGTGCCGCTGAGCCTTGACTCGGGACAAGTTGCACACATTCATTCAATCTACTCTATAGTGTGCCGGAATTACTTAACAAACGCCTACGAATATTTCTGAATCAAAAAGTAGTATAGTATAAGGATATAAGTTTTCATTTTTTACTATCACATCGGTTTTACAAATCACATAACTTTTCATTGTCAAATAAAATTAAGTTAATCATTTATTATTTTTTAAATTAGATCAATCATTTAATTGGATTGAACTATACAAAATTGAACGATTTTTTTTATTTCTATTAATTATAAAAGTGAATTAAAAAAATATATTATAAATAATAGAAATATTGATTTACATAGAGAAAATTATGTATGTGAAATGTTCAAAAATAATGAGTCATCAAGTAAAATTGACAGTAAAATTCGTGGTGCATCATCAAACAAAATATTTTTTCATAATGCTATATAACTTATTATTTTAACAAGCGAGAAAAAAATGTACACACGTTTACGCTAATAACAAAATACTTATGTTTTTATTTAGGTTTATAGTTTATTTGTTTATTTCCTGCACTCTGTTTACTTATAACAACTATAGTTATGTTATATAATAGTAATACAAAAATTTCATTTCTCATTATTATAATATTTATAGTTCAAATTCAGAAAAATTGTAATTCCAATATTTATAAAAATCACCCCAACATAATTTTTTGATCATTTCACAAGAATTGTTAAATTATTTGATAAAGAACATAAATCGAATAAGTATTTAATAATCAAAAATAATAACTTAATAATCTAAATAAGTCTCATCAAGTATTTATTAAACAAAAACTGAATTTATTAAACATGTATATTAAAATATTGATTTTATCTATTACATTTTAAGTAATATAAAATCAATGTTATCATGAACATTGTCAATGGAAACACGTATATTTACTACCTTCTATGTTATGAATAACTTTTGTCATTTTTAATCTCTTACTTTATACAAACATATATTTGGAGACATATTTTATAGATATTATTGCTTATATTTCGCTTGCTAATTCGGAGGCAGCTGTGCGCCTGTTATACGAATAAATTCGTCATGCCGTTCACATTTTCGATTTAATCCGTTACATCCTCATTACCAACCCACTGAAACACTAAGGCTGGGCCTTCCTCTTACCTTGGTGATAATTTTTTTTCAATCTCCAAATCTTACTAAATTAACTTAACTAATCTATATCTTTAATTATAAATCATCAAATATTTTACCAACCAATTTATAACAAAAAATATGACCTTATTTTAATTTTTCTAACATCGATTTCTCTACAAAGTTTATTTATATAATAATGTTATGGCAATTGACACGGTCTAATAATAATAACGATACGAGTGTAAAATGATATCAATTTTTTATACTCAAACCCTTTTCGTTCCAAACAACCTTTCTTCAACATCTGTGTTTTTTCATTTTAGTTTTATTTTCCTTTTGTTTTGTTAGTCACGTCGTGTCACTATAATAGTTTTCAAGTGTTTCATTTTAATATATTTTAAGTCTATGTCATGGTTTGAATAAAAAATAACACGAAAAAAATACACGAGAAACAAAAATATGTACTTATTAAAACACGCATTACTTTATAAAAATTAAACCACTCTTACAAAAATAATTTTCAAAAACACTAGTTGTATTTAATTGGAAATCAAAATATGTCAGATATTAAACATTTCACATTCTTTCAAAAATATTAATAGTTTTATAAAAATATAGTTACTTCTCTTGAACCTATGTTCGTCACAAACTATAATTTTACAACTGTATACATAGTTAAACTTCAAAGACATATTAGTAAAAAATATAATACGTGTAATGATCTTTGAATTCAGTGTATATTCAAGTTAAGGCAATTTTAGAATATTAAATTAAATTAAAAAAAAAAAAAATG